CTTAATATTTGCCATGACGCAAAACTATTTGCTTTCAAATTTAAAGACATAAAAAAAGTCACGCTAAACAGTTTTCTTTTTTCTTCAAACAAAGCGTAAAGTCATCTTAATTAGGGAAAATAGTAAATTCACACAAGTCAAAAATACATTTCCGCCTTACTAAAAAACTAACATGTTGGTTAATAAACCTATACAAAATATTAGTAATTTTGTGATGAAATTACTATTCATAACAAAAACATACAAATGCATCAAAAATCATAGTATTTTGAGGTATTTTTAATTACATTAATAAATTTATGCAATTTAAGTTCAATTTTCTTGGTATAAGAAGCAACTAATCAACACAAAAAAGAAAATTGCTCATACTTTTTTAACATATTAAATTAAAGAATCACATACAAGAATTTCTTTATATTTTATTAATAAATTTCAAACTAGAGTAATTGTGTGAAGTGGTGTATTAAACGTTTTAAGCAGGACCCACTAGTTAATCAATTCAATAAACTTTCTATTTTTGTCAACTTTGAAGTTTTTATAAATTGTCAAATATCTTTATTTATTGCAAAATTTTTTTATATTTCTGCATTTCTTTTTTCAGTTTGCTAGAATCATGCTGTGTGTGTAAGTTTTATTTTCACCTGCCCTGTTGCAAGAAATTGAAATTAAATACTAACCCCTTCCCCAAGGATTCACACAACAGGGGTGATGTTGAGCCAAACTCAAAAATCCTGAAAAATTTCTTTAGTAAAATCATAAATGACGCATTTCAAAAAAAAATTTCTTTATAAATTTAAATCATTTACAACATAAAATTCTAAATAAATTAAATGTAGCATAATTTAAATTAATAATTTTGTATTTATTATACTACAAGAAAAAATATTTACAAATGAAAGAGATAACAAGTTTAAAATTCTAGTTCTAACATTTTAAATAAAATATACAAGAATTTATGTGATATGTGATTACCGGAAATTTCCAGATCGCGATTAGCGAAAAATTCAGACTTCTTCCCTGAGCACAATCATCTCTGACATAAGGAAAAACTTTATAATTTAAAGTGAGCATGATTTCGAGAATTTTAAACCAAATGGATTTAAAACATAAGTTTCTATAATACTCCAAGAACTATTAGAAAAGGAAAAATAGGCAGATAAAATTTTAGAATATAGTGATAGCCCACTGAAAAACTTGCCAACACTGGTGCTGACGCCCAATTTCATCGCAGAACATAAAAAGAATTATCAAGGATCAAAGATAAATACAAACCAGGGTTGGTATGATTTAAATCACCTGTTTCAGTTCTTTTTTTTATAACCTTTATGTAAACAAACTGAATATTTAAAAAAAAACATTCATAATTAATAGATGTTCTTTTCTTACAGAATATAATTTATTTATTCTTTTGAGTGTTTATAAAAGTCTGATATTATTGATAATGAAAGTAATTTCCTAAAATAAATTTAAGAATGAAAAAAGGCCCAAAAACTGGATAAGGGCAGCATGCAGTTATTAAAATACTTCACAATTAGTAGATTTCTATATTTTATTGGGAGAAACACAGAAACATTAAAATTAATCTGAGGGAGGGAGTATCTCTAACTACTAGCTAAATAATAATCTTACAGAATTTCAAAAAACTGATTAAACAAAATTTATTTTTGAAAACTTTTTGCAGCTTACCATAGAAAGATGCCAAATATATAAAAATCTCGATTTTAAATTCTTAGTCGCTTATGTTGATTTTTACTATTGCACGGCAGCACAATAATTTTTTATTTATGAACTTTAAGAGCTGACAGAAAGTTCATAGACGTAGAACAGCCGAGTTTTTTACTTCGCTCACAAAGGTGATTTCATGACTTCATCGTAGGTAGCCCGAACAATAACTCAGCTTCGATTGGAAGTTAACTCTCTAATTTAAAGAAATCTTTTGTTTTTAAAATGAAAGATAAGAATTTAGCATTTAATGCTGCGTTTAAACTAACTTTTGATTTGAAGTTAAAATTTTTATGCCTTAAAAACAATTCTCTCCACCCAAATAAAAAATATTATTCATTTTTTTAAAGAAAGAAAGACCTTTAATATTGTGTTTAAACTAGAAGAGTAGAGAAAAACAACTAGAGATATAACTGCTAGTTTTTCTTAAAATTGAAAAATAGTAAAAATTTTTAGTTTAATTCCAGACAATATTTTAATATATTTTCACTTTTCTTCCTTCTATTTCTAACAAACAGAAAATTTAAGTTTTAGTGTAGCTTTGAATTCTCCATATAATAACATAGGATTGCTTTATCTCCAATTAAAATATATTTTGAATACAATTTAAAAACTCATTTGAAGTACAGTTAATTAGACAATACATCAAGAATCAGACATTAATAATTAGACAGATAGTTAATAGTAACACAATGTCGAAGTACAATAGTTTAAAGATATTTTTTTAAAAAGGAAAAAAAAACACATTAGGCACTCATTCAAAAGACTGTCACTATGGATTTTGGAAACATTCCTTGCCTACCTGGATTACTTTTATCAGGGGTCTGTTAACGGACCCTTCACAAAATATCTTCTCATAAAAACGGACCCTTCACAAATTTATCTTCATAATTGTTTTGTTAATCGAATAAACCCTTCCCGGGGGTAAAAAGAAACCCGGTTCAAAACGAATTAAGTTTTCCGAGTTTCCCCCAAGTTTAATTTCCAAATGTAGTATTCTTTTTACAAACATCATGTGAACATTCTTATTGTCATTAAATGATAATTTTTTTTTTTTGGAAATAAATAATTGATCAATTTATGATTCATAATCAATCAATTATTCATAAAATTAATTAATAGATTATGTAATAAAAAGTAATTTCTGGCAAATTTTTTAAATAAAATATTACAAATTTAAGAATTGTTTAAGTTTACTTAATGCGTAACACAATATATATGTCAACTGAAATTATTAAAAATCTGAGTGATTTTGTTTCCAGAGCTCATTCTAGGCAGGGTGAACAGGGTGCAGCACCCTGCTGCCTTTTTAATCAAAAGAATCCCACCCTGTTGCCCCTGAAGTAAATTAGTGCCCTGATGTAATACTCCATGCCCTTTCTGTTCTCAACCCTTCTGTATTTTCCCCCCAAACTTTTCAATGGATTTCTTAAACTTTTGTTATTTTCAACTCTTTTTATTTAGCTTCTCATTGCTGTCAAGATATATATGGGAAAGGAAAAATAGCCATCACACCCCCTTGTTGCACTTGTCTTTGAAAATTTGCAGTTACTTCCACTATCATTAAATTATAATTAATAATTTTAATTATTAAATCATAACTACAGACATTTAAAAACATGCAATATTATTTTATTAAAATATGCATGCATTTTAAATAAATTACTAAGCTAATTAAGCTCATTAACTCGATATATATGTTAATGTATTAATGAAAATTATTAATTAATACGATTGCTTTGCTACTTTTAGTAAAGTAAAAAAAAATAATTTCTTTTACTAATAGACAATGCTTTTTAATTGAGCGTGTAAAACCTATAAAAAGAAATAATTGCCTTTTTAGAATAATAATACCCTGTTTTCAGGGATGAGATTGGCCAAAAGGCAAAAAAGCTGAATTTTCATGGGAGTAAATCGTGATTTATAGCAAAAATATCAGTAACATATTCTCATCCAGTTTCGCTGATGTTGTAATGCCTACATATAGCAACAATCGTCGATAGAATAACTGCCACATTTATAGGTACTAATTCCAAAAAAAAATTTACTTTTGACAAGAATCGCGATCTTGGATTTTAAAATCGCGTGAATATAAATCACGAAATAGAAATCACGTGAATGAAACTCGATATTGGATTTCAAAAATGTGAAAATAGAAATCACGATACGTAATTTTCAGATCGCGTAGATACGAATTACGATGCATAATTTCTAAATGGCGTGAATACGAATCCAAAGGATAATTTTTAAATCACATGTAAGTACGAAAATAGATGTTGAATATTACAACCGCAAAAATTAATCACGACTTTGGATAAACTCGCCGTGAATACGAATCGTTACATAGAATTTTAAAAATGCCTGAATACAAATCGCGACATTGGATTTTAAAATCTCGTAAATAAGAAACGCAATGAACGATATTGAAATCGCGTGAATAAGAATCGCAGTGAACAACTTTTAAATCAGGTAAATACGAAAATCGAAGTTTGATATTAAAATACGAGCTATCTAGCGGAAGGGGGGAAATTAAGAAAATCTTATTTTCTGCTCGTAAAAGCTAAAATAAGTAGATATGTAGAAGGGTTAGCAGCTATGTAGTTTGAATTTTCAAAATAGCTTTCGATATATATCTATATATCAAATCGGAAATAAATATAATTATTTTATTTCAACGACTTAATTTTCAGAAAAGGCGAAACATTTATTTAAAAAACTGAAACTTTTAGAAAATCGGAGTTTTTGATAATAAGGCTGAAATTCAAGAGACAGAAGTGAAAAAGGCGGAAATCCGCTAAAAAGCGGAAAAATCTCATCCCTGTGTTTTTAAACTTTTGCACCCTGCCCTTTTTTCTGTCTAGAACGAGCTCAGTTTGTTTCATTATTTGTTCGAAATGAATATTCTGTGTTGTGCTGCAGTACAGGCTAAATACCAAATATTTGTATATTGCATCTCTAATTTAATAGCAGCAATTGTTGAGCAGAATCTTGTATTTATTTACAATTTAAAAACCTCTTGAAAAGGTTTTTAGCAATTCTTGCAATAGCAGGACCCTATTTGCACAAATTCACAAAAGCAGGTCCCTGGTTGAAAGAATGTGACATATATATATATATAAACGCTTATTTAATATTAAAAAATTATGAGTATTTTTTTCACAAAATGTCTGGACAGACCCCTGATTATATAACCATATACAAAACACATAACACAAGCTTGGCTACAACACATTACTATTAGTAGATAGATATTAAGTTAAGTAAGAAAAACACGTTAGTAACACCTTTTCTTTTATTGTTTCAATATGATACAATTTTAAAATTTAGCATTTGGCCTAATAGTTGTGAAGCGTGGCTTGTGGAATTTTCGGTTGATTCTTGATGGCAGAGGGAATTTAATCTTGCTATCCTGAAATTTAAAAAAAAAAAGAAAGAAATCAGTAACAGTTAACAATACACTTGCAGGCCTTGTAGTTTGCCAAGAGATAAAGGGTTTTTTAGAACAGTATACATAACAGAGCAAACAACAAACCAAAAGTATACAAATTACTATGCTTAAGCCCTGTGGCAGAATTTTTTTTTTAAACCTTCTGTGACAAGCTACTCTAGTACTAATGTCTTTCAGCAATGTACTTTTAATAAAAACAGCTATGCATGTTACTAATTTTAAGCAACAGCAACATTGTGTTTATAAAAAAAAACTTAAAATTGTATAATTTTTAAAATTGAATACATATTTTTTTAAATTTTAATATTATGAATGATATTTCACATTTTATAGAAGGAAATATGCATTTATTACTTAATTTTTCGATTTTTGTAAATCATATACATTAAATAAAAATCATGAAAGCTGTAACTATCCCAAAAAAATCATGAGAATCAGACTTTTCAAAAAAGAGGTTGCTAAATGCGTGTCATTTCGAGATTTGGTTGTATCAGATTTTAAAAACAGTACAGAAATGAATAGCAGTAACTACAAAAATAAAAGACAGTCAATGTTAAAAATTAAATATCCAAATGCGTATTTCGAATTTTTCATACAGCCAGAAATATATCAGGATATTTAAAAACCACATGAAAATCAATATCAATAACTGCCAAGAATGCACTCAAAACACCATAGATTTAAGATACTATCAGCATAAATTGAGCACGTCAAAAAGTGATTAGTTAAATGTTCGATTCAAATGTTACTTGTAGAAATTATATCAACTAAGAAGTAATTGGAATTTAAAAAGCCTCATGGAAATTGGCAGCAATTGACTTGCAATAAAAAATCAAACAATGTCGAAAAAGCTGAAATTATTATAGTAAAAGTAATATATATTTTTAAACAAAAGTTGTAAAAATTCGTAGCAATAACTCTTGAAAGAACGGCTGAAACACTGCATGGATTAAAGAGGAAGGATATTGACGAGAACCAAGTGTCTCAATGAGTCATTTTTTGAATCTCCGATTAAAACTTCACGCTACATAATACCGGTATTATTTAAAAAATCACATAACTAAGCAATAAAACACATCTAAAAACTCATAGCAATATGTGCAGGGGGGGGGATATGAAAACACTACATATATTTACCGTTGAATTGGTGTGAGTTGTGAGGGTTAAAATTAAGACCAACACATGATTTAAAATTTTCATTAAATATATTGCACAGATTTTATTTCAATCAATTTTTTTTTAAGAAAAAAGGACAAATTAACCCATCCCACATTGATTAATTATTTTACTACAAATTTTAGCATTTGCAAGAAAATCCTCACTCAGTCAAATTTGATGCTCTTAGAAGAAAAAATGAAAGAAAGAACATGATTCCTAGAGCGAAATATCTTTTTAATTTTTACAATTAGGATTTTTTATTTTATTTCTGTATAATCAATTTGAAATTCAAGCTGCAGCGAGTGATTATCGAATTTTTCTAAATTTTCAAGTGAGAATTCAATGTGTGAGAAAAGCATCTTCTAAATATAATTCTGAAGGAAAAGTCTTGAAACTTTCTACAGTAAAGAAAACCAAAATTTCTTAATCAACTATCTTTCATTATTTTCAAATGAGAGTAGGAAAAATCACAAGCATTTCTTTCTTCTCTGATTGCAAGCAAGGCACATTTTGAATTTAATTTTAAGGGAAAAAAAATCCTTTAAAAATTACAGCAGAAAAGAAAATCAAATTTTTTTACTTCCCAAAGAAAAAATTCTTTCTGTGGGGCCTCTGTAACGTTCTGTGACAATGTCGCCATGTTTCTGCCATGGTGTACTTATAATAAATGCAAATTTTATTGAAAAAGAGTAACAAATAATCTAAACGCAATTTGTCAAATATCAAATGGGATGATCTGAATGCACATAAAAACCACGACTAAGCATTTTTTTTTGAATCAGAAAAATCAGGATTGTTGAGGGAAGAAAAAAAAAAACATTATCCTAAACACTGGCAAAAAAAAAAAGCATTAAGTCTAACTCAACATTGGTCATCATCTTGGACATGAAGACAAATTAACTCATCACCAGTCCACAATGCGTTAATAAAGAACAAACCAATCATACCATCATAATTGCAATTTAGAACCAAAAATTTCATATTTTATACTAACTTACAGATCTACTAAACACAAATCTACTAAACACTAAGAACAAATCTACTAAAAACAAAACTAAAATTACGGCAGAATATTTTCAAGAATCAACAATAAAAGTTAGGTGAAGAAAATATCTGACCTTTACCAGACTCTCCATAGCCTTTAAATTAAACTTGCTAAGTATTTTTCCATGGCTTGTAAATTAGTGCAGAAATTTTTAAAACAATATTTTTTAACAAAATTTTACATCTTAACCATTAATCCTTTATCTAAATTTTCAAATTATATTAGAAATATTTTAGAAACTCGGTATGTTATTGTAAGATTTTCAAATTTTTAACACTATTCTCTATCTGACCTAGTCTCTTACTTTCTTCACCAGACCTAACACTTCAAGCAAGTAAATAAAAAACTTGAATAGATTTCAATAAAAACCTATACATACATACCAATAAGCTTAACCACCTAATCATATACATACATTATACATATTACAGCAAAGGACAAAATAAGAAACTATAAAAAATCTGCTCACATGAAACTGTTTAACGTGAGGTCTGCGACACTTGGAAGCCTCAATCTCTTGAACTTTCAAAATTTGAATTGAATCTGCACGGGCACGATGCTTGGCTCCCATATCTCTATCTGTAAAACATTTTTTAAAAAAAAGGATAACATCAATAAAAAGTCTAATTAGGGATATTAATTTTTATCAGTAAGGTAGAAAAATTTTTAAACCTTGAGATATCAAACAAAACAAATGATTTTTTATATTAAATAAATGACTCGAAATATTTAACTAATTCCATACAAATTTTATACCTTGTCATTTAAAATCTAATAATGGGTAGAAACCTGTAAGCACAGAAGGAGAATCGAGGAAAAAAGCTGTTAAAATTTGATTCACTTCGTTCAGGAAATGTCCTAAACAAAGGCGACAAACTTTTAATTAATTTATGCACTCGCAACAAAGGCAAAGCTACACAACACTAAGCCTCCGAATTTTAGTGCAATTTTAAATAACCACTAACACAAATATCTAGGGCTGGGTAGAAACTTGTAAGCACAGAAGGAGAATTGATGAAAAAAGCTGTCAAAATTTGATTCACTTCGTTTAGGAAATGTCCTAAACAAAGGCGACAAACATTTAATTAATCTATGCACTCGCAACAAAGGCAAAGCTACACAACACTAAGCCTCCGAATATTAGTGCAATTTTACATAACTACTAACACAGGGTAGAGAGAATAACATTTGAGAGTACAAAGGAAAGAAAGAGAAAAAATTTCCAAATATCATCAACTTCACTAAAAAAACTTCTAAACAAAAGTGAACTTAGATAGAGCATTTATATTGAAAATTATAGCACAGACTGCAATTTAAGCAACAAATCCATACAAAACACGTCTGGGGGAAAGAAAAACTTTTTTCATGACAAACTTTTATTTCTAATTTCCATTTCACATGCCCCAGTTTTGAAGATTTCTCAATTTAGCAAGAAAACCACTAACAGCCTTTAATGTTATTTTATCTTCAATTGTAAATCTTTCAACTGGCATTTTTCAAAAGTAAGATTTCATTTTTGAAACCATACTGTTTCAACAGTGATTTAACACAAAATTTTTAGTTTATTTTTGGCTGATAATAGAAGTTAAGTAGCAGAGAAGACAAAAAATAGCAAGTTCAAGATTTATGTAACCATTTATTCGAGTTATATACTTTTAAATTTTGCTAATATTTTAGTTACATAATCTTTAAAAAAGTAGCTCAAAAACTTTCTTGAACAATAGTGCTTAATTTTGTTGCTTCTAATGAAATATTTTTAAGAACAGTTTTAGAGAAAATATGGTTAACTCATATCCATTTGCATCCATGTAAAACTCTGAAGTATATTCTGTGCAGACAATGCTAAAAGAGCTGAACAACTTTTCTCCATAACATAATTTGAAAATTGAGTTAAAAAGCTTCACAACATGATACAAGTATAAAATGTCATAAAAAAAGAATAAAAATGAACACTCTAGGTGAAAGATAAAACTAAAAAAGGTACACAATTCAAATATGCAGAACTTTTTGTTTAAAACCAAATGACGCAAATAATCTAAATATTGAATATCTAAGGTCAAATAAAAGTTCAACAAACATGCCAAAAACCATCGAAAAATAATTAGGACCAAAACTTTTCTTTTGTCAGTTCATATATTATTGAATTTTCTTAAACTATAAAAATCTAGATGACTTCTTAATACCAAAAACAATGCTTCTACATTATAATTGTCCAATATTTCAAGAAAATAAACATAAAAAGACATAATCATGGGCTTGCTTCTAAGTATTGTAGCTTTGATTAGCATTAGATGCTAAGAAAATTTATTTGCAGCAAATCTTTATTTCAATTGCAGCACTGCCTCGTGATAAGGCTTAACATGGCATTCACACACTAACTTAACCTCATTAGCTGTACTTCTTGACAGAATAATTCCTAAATAATAAAAGTTTGCAATGATTTAAAACTTGCTGAAACCTTAATTAAAATTATCTTTATCCAAACATTGAAGATCAGAAAAAATACTCCCTCTTATTTTTAAGGTGTCTATTAAGGTATGTGTATATTACCACATAAAACTTTAAACCACACAGAATTGTTTTAAATCTTTTTCCTTTAGTTTGGATAATTCATTGCTTAGCTACAAACAGTATTTCTATCTGTTAATGGCAATTTATCTTCTCTGCCAATCAAACTATCTTCAGGAATAAAAAAAACTACTTTTATTTACTTCTCTGAAGTTTCAAAAGCAATTATTTTGAATCTAAGAACCTATGAATCATTAGTATATTACTTTGAAATAGTTTATAATAATGAAAAATAAAGTAGCTTTATCTACTATAAAAATTAATTTGATCTTAATGACAGATTTCAGTTTAGAAAAGTTTTGCAAAAAAAAGTTTGTGCAATTTCATTGAGCTGGCAATCAGTTCTGAAAGAATAACTCAAAGTTTCATTTGAGTTTGAAAGTCTTAATTCTTCAAAGGTGATGTTTCAGATCTAAAAAAAAAACTTGCCAAATCTGATTTAAAGAAAAATTATCAAAAAAAAAAAAAAAAAAAAAAAAAAAAAAAAAAAAAAAAAAAAAAAAAGAAATCTAAATTCCTATTAAATAGAAGCCAGGACAAAATTCATAAATGATTGATTGGAATTACACAATAACCTTATTACTACCAGATTATAAAATGTATAATCCTTTGTGAAAAAATTTATTAGTTCCCAAAATTTTGTTCACCTGAGCTTTCTAGATGATCGAGCTGTATACACGTGATTGCAACAAAGTTATGGCATACATTGATACAATATATATTGCAATAATTTATGTATTAATTAATATTTTATTAAATTATTAAAATTAAATTAGACTATATTAAATTAATAAAAATTAAAATCTAAAATATTTATTAGTTTGAAATTTTTAATAAAGTAATGTAATCTCTACTTTAAAAAAAATTGGTTTCATGATTAAAATTTAGGAGAAAGTTATAACACTTGTCTAACAGTTACTTGCTGATAAGTATAGATAATATCCAATAATTTCTATTATTAGCTATAATGAAAAAATAATGTATGCATGTCTTTACAAAAACAAGCTTAAGCCCAAACCAAATTGCAATATTTAGAGGAAATAAAATAAAAATAATTACTCACAGCATTGAGTTACAGCAGATGCCACAGTCATGTCTCTGTATTCCCTGTACATGTTATGGGTTCCAGTTCGAGAATTGTATCTTAACCATACGCCAAAGTTCTTGACTTTAGTGGGGGTTTTATCATAAACCTAAATTTACAAGTATATTTCAGTGCACAAATTTAACATATTAAGAAGTTTAATAATTTAGTAAGGTATAATTCTTATGTAAGAAAAAAAATTAATAGCTAAATATGGAAATGCATATTTTGCAACTAAGGGTTATTGCTGCAGATTTATTAATCAGTAAGCAAATAAATAGGAATATAAAAAAGCATTTATGTGTGCATTCCTTGTTAAAAATACTTGTAACATTTTAAGTATTCTTAAAATAAGTAGCCAGACTCAGCTATCCTTTACACCTTCTTATAAAAATAAGATTTATGGCAGAGGAAGAATATTGCTTAAAGTTTAACGCACTAACATTTATTATGCTAGCAATTCTCTGCAAATATGCTAAAATGAAGGATAGTCAAATGCTTTTAAAAGCAAAATTAATTAGTTATCAGAACAACATAGAGTTCGAAAATTACATTAGCTGGGCTTTAAAGTGTTTCAAAATAAAAATCAGATAATTTCACAGAAAAATTTAGATCCTTTTTTCGGTATAAAACATACATACTATTCTCTGATGCAAGTTAAGAAAAAACAATTATCCCTATGGAGAGAACCTGCTTGCATTCAAGTGCACACCAAGCACCTTTCTATTTGTATTTAAAGAAACTGATGATTTGATTTTGATTTGATCAATCACTTTTATGAAGTGAGATGATTCTATCTCATTGTAAATTTTGTGATTTTTTTTAGAGTTATTTACTATTTTTAATATGCTATTGACAAGAATTTTAATCATCACTTTTTGTTGCTAACAGTAATTAATATATATATAAAAACTAAATAAATACCTCAGATATAGAAACAACTTCACCATGAGACTTCTTGATTTTCTTAAGTTTTCTGGTGAAATACCAGAATCTTGATTTTGCAGTAACCTTGTCTGGTGCAAATATTCTCATCCTGTATAATGGTGGATTTTTTTCTTTTTCACATGGAAGTTTCCTTCCAATAATTTTATACTCCTTCAACTAAAGGAAAAACAAAATCAGACATTAACAACAAGTCATCAATTAGTACACATTACTTTTATAATTTGATTACCTGTTTCTCCTGCTAATATCCAGTTATGCATTAAAAGACATTTAGAAATATTAGTGATAACCAATAAAAATCTAAATCACAATTCTACTGCTAAAAATAGAATATTAAAAATACATTCATGTTTCACAAGATGCACCACTCTTCAAAATTCTCAAGATTGAACTTTCTTTTATAAACTTGTTACATGTGGACAGTTATCACAAAAGATACTAATTATAACTAAATCAATATAATAAATTATAATTACTAATTATAATAAAGTAACATTGAATTCAATATTAACAAGGTCAATAAAAATTCGTTTAACACTGAACTTAGACCTATTTTTTGACCAATTAACACAATCTAGCATTAAACAGAATTTTTTTTAAAAATTAAAGCTTACTTTTAATGAGGATGGTCCATATATTATATCCAAGACTTTTTTTTTCAAAAAAAAAAAAAAAAACATTTCTTTTAATTAAATTAAGCAAATCAAAAATAGCACCTTCAAGTAAGTATTCACTATACCAATTGCTAAATTCTGACTTTCTTGGAGTCACTCATATCTCTATTAATATTTCCCTCCATTATTAAAATTTTGACCTACATCATTTTAATTTAACTTTGCCCTGAATTTGAAAATATCAAGCAGTTTCAAATTTAACAATGTGAATTTTGTTTTTACAAACAGATGGTGAAGTTAAGTCATTACCACTTTTCCATTATGGTGAGATATCATAAATTGCTCATTTGGCATTAATTATGAAAAATAGCAACATTTTTTTTAAAAAAAAAATTATCAATTTTCTCAGAAAATGTTTAAATTTTCAAATGGTAGGAAAAATTCTTTTTCTTTTGAAACTTAATTTTTAAAAAAGTCAAACATATAATAATTAGAGGGTGAAATTCAAACCGCTAAATCTAATTTCAGTCCTCAGGACTGAAGAGTGCATGTACACAAGTTAACACTATCTACCTCTTATAAATTTTATCACACTATGTGCAAGATTTCTAATGTTCTTTTTCAGTAAATTCTAAAGCATATAAATAATAAAATATTTCCATGATTTCGCATGAATATGATCTGATTCGACATCAAGAGATGTTCTGAAGAATGACAAATGTCTTTCTTCTAAATCATTATGATACACTGTTCATTGAATCAATGAGTTTGTTGAATTATAAAAAAATTTGAGTAATCAGTGATTAATTTGTTTCATATCCAAAGTTATCAATAAGATTTTTTTTAGCAGATGTTACACATTTTTGCTAAAAATTAAATATCTTGATAATAGAAAATTAGAAAGAAGATACTAAAGATATTGATTAATAACAAGTGATAAATATAATCTTCAATTAACAGTAGAAAGATGAATTTTTTAAGTTTTAAAAAGACAGTCTAGCTAAAGTAATTTTTAATAGACACATAATAAAATGTATTTAAGGATTTAATTTTCTTTTAACTTACAACATTGATTTTACATGGCATTGCAAATACTAACGGTTGATTAGTAACTAACTAATAAATAGTAGGGCAAAACTAGTGCTGTAGGTAGTATAGCAGACTTGCAGGGGTCTGTTAAGAAGAAATTTGGGTCCGTTAACGGATCCTTCACAAAATAATTTATCTTTAAATTGGACCCTTCACAAATTTGTTTATCTTTATTATTGATTTGTTAATCGAATAAATCCTTCCCAGAAAGAGGGGGGGAGAAAGACAAATGCAAAGGAACTAAGTTTTGTCTTCAGCAAGCAGAAGCTCCTTCCTTTATTCGTCTGAAATGAATATTCTGCGTTCCGCAGTATAGGCTAAATACCAAATATTTGTATGCTGCATCTCTAAAATAGTACCAGCAATTGCTGTTTATTTTCTAGAATTTAATTACAATTTAACAGTGTTGAGCATAATCTTGTATGTCTATACAATTTAAAAACTCCTTGAAATTTTTTTTTTGAACAGACCCTATTTGCACAAATTCACAAAAGCAGACCCTGGTTGAAAGAATGTGACTAAACGTTTATTTTATATTCACAAATTACGAGTAATTTCTTCACAATTTAATAAGAACAGACCATTCACAAAATTTCTGGACAGACCCCTGACTTGTAATATAATAATTGGTTTGTATTTGGAGGAAGGTTTTTGTTGTGAGAATTTTGAAATTCCATCATAAAATAAAAATGAATATAAACAAAATATTAATACAAACTAATTTTAGCTCATGAGAAAAATAAGATTTTCCAAAAATAAAGTAAGAAATGAACTACTAAATAGCAAAATTTCCTGGAAGCTATGCGTACGAAACCATATATATACATAAATATATTTGCTAGAAATCAATATTAATTATGAATTATTATGATATACTTTAGGGAAAATAGAAATTATCTTGAGAGGCACACATAGCAACAAATCGTGCTGCCTACTTAGTAAAACTGAGGAATCAGTTAGTTTGCTTTTACCCTGATTTAAGATCTCTTAATAATAACAATATCCAGAAAGAATGCCAGCACTGAATGAAAATATTGAAAGAATACATGCCTGTACAAATAATATTTTACCATTTCATTTGAGCAAGCAATACCTAAACTTTATCTTATCAGTTATTAACATATGTTAGACGAGTATAAAAACGATTATAAAATGAATAAATAGTTAAATTTATTTTGAGAATTCAAACAAAAAAATATTTAATTACGATAAAATAAAGATTGAAGTTAATTTAATAATTAATAAGACACCATGCATGGCAAGGCTTAGTTCTAACATTTCCAAAGAACATTTATAACACTTTACAATTATATACAATAATAGGTGATAACAATCATTACAAAAAGGGACATAATTTAAAATAAAGACATACCTGTCCTTTAACTTTCATTTTTTAAATTTTATAAATTACTTTCTAAGATGCCTCACATAAACAATCGCCACATTGACGACTTCAATCGGTAGTTTCGCACATACGGTACAGTTACAGAGTGACGGTCAATTCAAAAACACTCGCTAACTAAAAAATTTATTTAAGGCATATTCTCACTACATTAAATTCAAGAAACCGTTCAGTCTGAATGTTATTCACGCAAACCCCATCGCTGTCCAGAAAACATAAAATATCCCTAGATGAAAATATTTCAGTGATTATATTCTCATTTTTTCTTGGTTGGTAGTTAAGTTGGTACCTTATTCACGTCCCACTGGAGCTACATAATGGGATATTGGTGATGGTCTGGGAAACTTCCCTTAGGATGATCTGAAGATATGCGCTAACATAAATTTTTGCCCTCTGCAGAAGGGGATCTCATGGGTGAGGCCACTTCCTCAATTTAAATATGGATGGTGTTTTTAGTAGTAGTAGTAGTAGTTCATTTACGTCGCACTAGAGCTGCACAATGGGCTATTGGCGACGGTCTTTTAAACTATTGTATTTGATATGTTTTCAGTTCACATGCTAGCGTTTTACCGAAAATTTTACGTTACAAAATTATAGTTCTTACTACCATATATTTAATAAAATATACAAAACTGAAAATTAAATTTAACCAAATAAATGTTCTTTATATTAGATATCATGATAAAATGAGCAAATTTTGAGACAATTACCAAGTTTTATCCCATCTACTCTGTATTTCATTCTCAATTTTATCAAAATAATTACCAATCAAAGTCCGTCGGTAAGGATTACCGAGTTTTTTGATGTTCATTCAGACGCGGTAAATTTTACCATATTCTGGTAGTTTTTGCCATACTTTTGTTCTTAGTGTAGGATATAAAAATATGCCTGAAAAAATCCTACTTCTTATGAAATTTTGATAAATCCTTATGGAGACATTTTGTAACTAAAATGATATTAAATTATGTAANTAAGTAATAAGTAATCAAATACATTGTTTGCAAGAATTTCAAAACACAATGATGCCAAATGGCTTTAAAATACAACTGAAACAGTAACCCGGAAATTTAGGCAGTCCCGAGTTTGCAGCGTTCTCTAGTGTAGAAAACACCATCCATAGATTTGAAGGGAATGAAAATTTTCTCCAACTGTCTGTACTCATGCTCCTTCTCAGTGACCCACCACGGAACTTTCGATTCCATAGATTTTATATACACGTACATTGCATGCAATCGGATGGTGTTAGCGGAGTTGAGGATCGGACTGAAGTAGGATTCTCTATCCACTGGGCCATCATGGATAGATTATTTCATTATTTCTTGACGGTGATCGGACTGCTAGGACTGAGAATGGATCTCAAACAGTTAAAAGTAATTTTAACATTGTAGGGGCGTGATCGAAGTCAATAAGTTGCTACCCGACAGCCTTCATGTGTGCTACTTAAACTGCGATTGAAATTTATTCCGATGTATTGTTTTAATTAAGATTATTTGATTACATCCATACCAAGCCACAAATTTATAGATAATTCGGGGCACACAATGGGAATAATTTGGTCCCATTATGCAAAACCGTGGAAAGGACATGCAAACTATAAACTGAGAAAGCAAGAGGTAAGAAAAAGACGTACAAGTGACAAATTCGTATTATTTTGCATTAGGATGCGAAGAGGTAATGTGCGCATGCTAATGCAAAAGTATGAGAATCTGCCTCTGCGGCCTACCGTTAGAAAGCTAAAATTGCATTACGCAGACAGGTGGTCATATTCCGTAGTATGGGCGTACGTTTTGAAAATCTCATAGTCTTTATTTTATTTAAAACATTCACTAACTTATTCTTAATGAAAAAAGAATAAACCTCAAATACTAAGTTTTGATGTACACGACACGGATACAGATCCTTCGAAGGATACAGATAGAAAGATACCCCTTTCTTTAGTTACAGAACGTCTTGATGATTTGTTTGAAGAATCAATTATGTGATATACTTGATCACATCATAATTAATTATTTTTAATTAAATCAGTGTTTTTGTATTAGACTGCAGTAATTTTCGGCAGATGCGCCGTATAACCGCTTAGAGTTGAGTCCAAATAATACAATCCTGAAACAAACTATCTTAAAATAATTTCCTATCGTGAAAAAAAATAATAATGAAAAACTGTCAGGTTTGCATTTGGCGAAGTCTTACGAAAATTGGCGAATACTTTTGATATTTAGCTAATTTACTGGCTAATAATTTAAAATCCTCAGCGCGGGTCTTCCTCCCTAGTATTTTTATTACAGAATTATTCAACCCCATTAAAAACCTTTATTTTTATTACAGTATGGTAATTTTAATAAAAACATCGTTCTTTTTTCTTATTATTGTTTTTTTAATACAGAACAACCAAGCCCCAAATTATGCCTAGACATACGGCCATCCCCAAATTCATAGAAGAGTTAGTTGGGCGCAAGGGGGTCTGATTTTAATATCAATTTTATGTGTTTGTTCTCTGCTTATACATGTGAAGGCCTTTGTTTTCCCTATATTAACCTATAATTTTAAAACTCGACCCTATTCATTATTACAATATATCCAACACGTTCAGTGTTTTATTTTTCCATTGAGTTCAAATGATTTTACTTTTCACATTGATATTACATTAAGTGAATCATTTAATGGTAAATTTATCTTTAACATATTGTTATTTTATTTTCTGATTTCACTTACAAAGCAGCGGAAGGTTATGAAAAATGCTTTCTTTTCAGGCAATTTAAAAAATATATACTATATTGCTTATAGGAATGAATAACAAGAAAGTCACAATAATGTTCATTGTATTACAGCTAATAAACGTTTAGCAATAGCAATCTGATAACAAAAGTAAAATAACAATATGTTACTAATAATATATAAATATAACTAATAATATATAAATATAACTAATAATATATACAACTAGTAATCTATAAGTAACTCGTAAACATAAAAAATGCATAAAAGGTTATTGCAAAATTGCTTCATTTTTGATAATATTTTTCTTTATGACTTAAGATAGTCCAGAAATGTTTTCATCTGTTTTAAGAACATCTTCCAGATCTTCACGTTCGAAAGTGTTTTGAAGTGAGACCCCTTCTTCGTCATACGAATATGTTTCTAGCATTAAAGTATGATCCTCATGTAGACAATCATTATAAGTGTGGCCCTTGCAGTTTGCACATATCACTGAAAATTGCATTCCTTCTATGCTACAAGAGCAAATGACTTGACATCTGGTTTTACAGGAACATGAAACATTGTTCAGTAGTTTTGGAGCCTCTGGTGGTATTTGAAATCGGAATCTTTTTATGGTTCGGCCTCCATTCTCAGTCTTGGGCAACAAGGAAGGTTTAACAGTTGCACTTGAAGGTATGCCTTCAGGACAGTTTTGTCATGCAGATGCCTCGGTTGTAGGCAAACATGCCAATTTGAAATTAACTTTCGAGAGTCTCTTTTGAAAGAGATGTAAGCGACTTAGGATACGAATAGCTTTGTTCTCTTTCGTATATATAGATACCTTATAAATTTGGCCCCTGCATCAGAAACCTAATTAAGCATACTCTTAGGATCATGAAAACAGAAACATATTCCTTTTAAAACTGGAAATTTTCCGGAAAAGTTTAAGCATTTTGTTTTTTCTTGTCTGAAAAAAGTAGAAGTACTATCGCAGCCAATGAAGGGGTGTAGGAATAATAATAAAAACTATCTTGATTCTCCTTTCCACGTTCATTATATGTAAAACAAATAATGTGTTCCGTGACAAAGAAACACCATCTGTGAAACCCCAGGTCCTCAAATCTTTTAAGGCTCACAAAATGGAAACACTAAAATTCATGAAAGAATAATTGATTTCTGTAATTCTTTGAAAAATTATTCGATATATCCAAGCTTAAAGTGTTATTATTTTCTTTGAGATTCGCAAATATTTTTGTTGTGTTTTTCAAAAGTAAAATTTGAAAGTTAGAAAAAGAAAATTCTATTTAATCTTGTTATTTCCTACTGCCCCTCACTCAAATTCCTAATTTCATCTAATATCTTCTTCTCCAAAAGTCACTAACGCTTGCTTTTTCTAACTAGTTTTCTGTCACTATCTACAAAACAGTTACGATATCCAAGGGGTCTTGATTGGTAAATTTAGTAAGAACAATACATTCTAGTTTGTTGTTTTCAAAATTTGCATCGCTGTATATCACTCGAGGCGGAATATATTGTTCTATGGTTTGAATTAAATTTTGCAAATGAAGTATCTTTTAAATGTTATAAGACCGAAGAAGGTAGCAGTTTTTTGGATCTCAAAAGTTTAGCTCATTTCAGGAACCGTCGCAAACACATATTTTTCTTTTTTGCCCAAAATGAAATAAAATCATTTCCAGCTTTCTGGGAATAAGGTCGTATGAAGGCGTTCTTCTGGGATGCGAGGCCAAGTCACCAAATTTATAAACGAATTAATCGGGGCACAAGGGGGCCTCATTGACACTGCATCTCATGTTCTAAATATGCATAATAATCTTCTCTTAAAATTTACCTATAATGTTAAAATTTGTTCTAAAGGAAATGTGGCAAAAAGTATTTTCTCATATTAGTGTTAAATAATTGCCCAAGAACTTTGCATTTTTGAACAAAATAAAAATATTTTTAAATTTTCTATAACTTTTTCTGAAAATAAAGGGAATTTTTGGAAATCATGTTCCTCATATTTTAATATGAAATCAATTTTCAAATAAATAGGCATTTCAAAAAGCTATACAATTATCTCTGAGTATCCTCTCTAATGTATGTACTACATAAGGTGCTCCAAAATTTGACCAACATATTCAGTGAGGTGATATAAGGATTAGCCAGGCGATCGCAAAGTGCGAGATGTGGAAATCGCAAAACCTCCTGCAAGTTCAGACAACGCGCTGAAAAAATACTTTTAAAGATACTACAAAATTGCTTTTTAGAAATATTTATATTAGTACCAAATGGTGTCCTCTGACATCATTATACAATCTACAATGAATTAAAAACGATTCCTAAAAGTGGAATTATAAGGAAAATATTAGCTTTCATCCTTACTGCAAAGATAAGCAGCCTTTTCTTTACCATAGTAACTGCCATTTTCAAATGCTAAAAAGAAAAGGAAGAAGCAGAGCAACGTTGCGACAGATTTAGCGTTACCCAGGGTGCACCACAAGGAGGCCTGTCGCATTACACCCCAATTTTTTTTTTTTTTTTTTACAAAATGTAACAAGAATTTTTTTTCTTTCTTGCCCATAAGTCATTAAATGTAAATGTATTGAAGATAAGGCTTCTCAAATATATATATATATATATTTTTTTTAACAATTACAAGATTTTTTTTTCTCTCCTTTTATACGCATAATTTATGGAGAGAATAGAAAACAAATTTTCT